ACAAGATAGAATGCCTGTTCAATTACAACCTCCGGAAAGCATTAGGAGTCCGGACGTTCACTGCGACAATGTATACATGGCTGACATACAGTGGTCTCAGAAGCCTGACGGAGAATGTATTTACCCGACTTATTGCACGCAGGGTGACGAACAAATTATCCAGCTTTGGAATTATTAGCCCTGTAAATTATTGTCTCGCACTGACCATTGTACTCGACGAGCTTGCATATTATGTAAAAGATTGGAGGTGGGAAAATATTTATGTACATTTTCACGATTAAATAATAAAATGTTAAGATATATTTAATTAATGTGATTATTGTTTTGGATCATAAACAATAACATAAATGGGCCCAATTACACTGTTGCAAATTAAGAGGCCCAGAGGTCCAGCAGCCCATATAACATGACAAAGCCCATAACATATCCAATGATTTTCATAGGCCCACTATACATAGGCCCATCAACACTATGAAAGAAGTAGACACTAGAATGGATCAGCGCGGCCTAGTAAAGCAATATAATACACAACAGAACAGGACTTTGAACAAATTATTTATTTTGGAATAGTAACAATTATACAATTATGATAATTAGGAAATTGTGTCACTATTCTTATATGTGTCTGCACATCGCTCCATCGTCTGCATGGATGGAGCCATCGCCTAGGTTTCTAATTTGGAAACTGCTTTCAGACCGGTGAATAGAGCATCTTCTTGCCGCTGTAAAGCGTTGATGAGCCGGATTAAATTTTTGGCTTTGTTTTCGCCAACGACCAACAAGGACCAGTGCAGCAGTAAAAGATCCGGCTCGTATTTTAAAATCAACCACCTAAATTGACCTAGATCTCCGAGATCCATTGCAAAATAATATAAAATCCCCAATTATTTTGGCTTATATAATTTCTCGCTTGCGCTTGCCACCGTTTAAATTAAAATTCCCGCTTGCGCTTGCCTTTTTAGATTTTTAATCCTTGCCGCAGATCTGGGCGCGGAGCGGAGACACTAGCTGACAACACGCCACAAAATGCGGAAGGAAGCACCAATCGGGGGACGACACGTGGCGCGGGGGGAGCGTCCCAGGTAATATTAGTGGGACGCTCCTGGGAACCTATATAACTCACTCCCTTACTCTCTTATACCAGTAAAGTTTTTAGAAAGTGACTTGCGTCATCCGAGAGAGTGAGTGACGTCATTGAGAGTGAGTTATGGCCTCAATGCATCTTTTCTCTCCAGTAGATGTGATTCAATACATCCGTTCGTATGGAATATCGAACATCCGCAATGGAAGTGGAATATCTTTGTCACGCCCCAAACCCGCCCCTAGAAGTTTGGGCATGACCATTTCAAAAAAACGGACACTTAACCTGTTATATATAACATATGGGGCCTGAGTGGAAGTATAAATTTTATATAATAACATGCAAGGAAAGAGCTACATCCATTGAGCGACCACTATCATGCCAGGATCACAAATAGACAGATAATAATAGTTACATACACATATACAACCCCGCCCGTGTTTGGGCGTATAATAAAAAAAAAACATTAGAAGTTACAACATATTATAGACAATCAGAATCTAAGCCAAAACTTCACCAAACGGGTAGGCTTCACCCAAATGCTTGGACACACAGAGGCTAACAAGGAAGACGAGCATTTAAAAGTTGAGGCGACCTCCAAACGCAGGACCTACGGAATCAGACAAAATACATAGTGAGATAACCTCAGTGAATAATAGTACGTGAATAACTCAATGTTCAACTTGAATTA